AATCTATTTTTTGTGGATCCAATTTCCAATAGTGACTCGACGAATACAAGAAGACGTTTCTTCCACGTTGAAAACGAAAGGTATCGTATCGAACACGCCAGAAATAATGAAATAAAGTTGAAACTAATAAATATATTTCTATGAATAATTTCATAAGTACACCTATATTTTTAACTAACAAACAAATTTCTTTTGACATGGTATCCGCACACGATATGAATCAAAGACGAATACAAAATGGCACAATTGTTACACCTAATTTAAATCAACAAGTAAATACAATATTTGGAACGGCTAATTTTGTACGGTTAAAATTTTTCTATAGAAATAAATGCAATTTATCACATTTTCTATAGAAATAAAAACAATAGTAAAGGGTGATCACAAAATAGAAGGAAACATAACAAAGAAAAATTTGTGATTGGAGGGGGGAGTTCCATGAGTTGGAAGTAGCCATAGCAATGGTTGGTTGTGAGGAAAATTAATTCTTGATAAGTGAATTTGGAAGGATATATACAATTTTACATAGAAATTAAATAATCGTAGACTCGTTATTCTAAATTTTTGGTACTTTGTTGAATTAGTCTTTGTGTAGAGTTTTCAAACGTATAATTTTCTCCATTGCATCTATTCTTTAATTGCAAAGACTTTAGTTCTACATATGCAACAAATCCAATTACAAAATCAAACAAAACCTTTTTTCATACTGTGTCATTCACATATTTGGTACAGCTCACCTGACGTGAGATGTTATATCCAATTTTGTAATCAAATTTATAAATTTATTTTTTTTATTAAAATAAATAAAATATTTTCGATCAAATTTTCTATAACTTGTTCATGTATAATTGTGTGGGCCAGGACTTGACGAGTAAAAGTACAAGAAGACGTTTCTTCCACGTTGAAAACGAAAGGTATGGAACATGCCAGAAATAATAAAATAAAGTTGAAACTAATAAATATTTATGGGTAAATTCTGTTTTATCATTTTGGTCTATATTGTTTCAATTTGATCAATTTTGTACCTAAATTTTACGGATTGTGCCATATTAATCCAATAAATAACGGCGGTTAAATTTGATGGATAAAAAATCAAATGATATGTCGATTTGGTCCCTAAAATTTATAAAATGCGTCCATTTGATTTATATAGTTTATAGGAAAATCAAAATAATAGGAACTAATGATGTTTCAATAACGAATTTGGTCCCAAGATAAGTAATAACCAGTTATCCAAAAGATGTGGGCGATACATTTATTTGGAAAGCTATGACTCTTTGGGTGCGTTTGTTTTAAAGGATTAGGGTATGAGATCGGACTATTAGTCTCACCGGACTAATAGTCCATTATTTGTTTCAAAAATTTTGCTTCGAACTAATAGTCCCCCTGGACTATTAGTCCCATATTTGTGGGACTATCGTATCCCATGGGGGGAGGGAGGGGATAGAAACCATGGCCCCGTTTGTTTTCAGAGATAGAATGGAGGCGATTCATAGTGATGGAAATAATAGTGAGAGGATTGTTAGTGAAGGGATTGATAGTGAGGGGATCAAGTAAAATTGTGTTTGTTTTGATGATAGTTGTTAATGTAGGAATTGTTAAATTATTTTTATATAAAATAATAAAACAAATAAAAAAATATAAAAAATTAAACATTAATATTTTTAAAAAAAATTCCCAATATATAAAAAATAAAAAAAATAAAAAATTTATAATCCCTCACTATTTTTCTAATACCATCTCCACATCATCCATCTCAATTCCCCTTCCAACCTCCATCTATATTACCTCATCCATCCTATTCCCCTCACCAATTTTACAAACAAACACAACACTAAATAACCACACATCCATCCTAATCCCCTCCCATCTATTTAATCCCAAAACCAATGGGCCCCATGGGATAACTCATCCCATAAGATTAGACAATGAAATTACATTTTTGCCCTCTAGTATTTAATTATGTATTATATTTAGTAAAATTCAAAAAAGTTTAAATGTCTTAATTTAAAAATAAAATAATTTTATTTAATTTTTATTTTTGTTTTATTTATTTAATTTTTTAAAATATTTTTTTATAAATATTTTATTGATGTTTTATTTTAAAATTTTGTTTATATTTTATTTAATTTCATTATTTAAATTTTAATAGATGTTTTATTTTATTTCATTATTTTATTATTATTATTATTTAAAATAAATTTATTTAAAATTTTAATTAAAAAATAACATATATTTTTATTTTTATTTAATTTATTTAATTTTTAAAAATAAATTTATTTAATTGTGCAAAAATAAAATAAAATAAATTTTTATTTAATCTAGCCAAAAATAATTAAAATATTAAAGATATATTTAATATTGCAATTACTTAATAAATAATTGAAAAAGATAAAATAGTCATTTGAGTATTTATCATTTTCCATAATATTCCAAACAAATATTGGATTCACTAAAAATAGTCTAATTCAGACATCTAATTCCACGACTAAACAAATATAGGATACAAATCCAGTCCAACCAAATAGTCCGAGGATAATGTATCCCAGAACTAATAGTCCGATGGATTACAATCCCCCTTATCCAGTCCGTCCAAACAAACACACCCTTTGTGATCAAAATTCCCAATGCAGACCAATCCAACAAGAGGTGTTTGCTCCATTGAAAACGAAAGGATTCGAGCCCACTGCCAGTGGAGATAGGAAACAATTGGAGCTGAATTTTTTAATTTATTACGTAACCTCATCTAATTTAATTAAAAAAAAAATAGAAAAGTTTTTTGAAAGTAAATTAGAAATTGGCCGGTTAGCAAATTAAATCATATATTGAGTAAATTATAAATACACCTCTTAAATTTTTTGCTTACGGTACGAATCGTTCTTTGTAATTGTGGAAATTATATTCCACCCCCTAGGGCTTTTAATTTCATAACAAATGACCAATTTTATTAATAAATCATTAAGATAATTAACAATTTTTAATGATATTAGAAATATATTTTAATTAACAATTCATAAAATTTTATTAATGTATAAGAAAATAGTTAGGAAATTTATTTTTTTAATTAATTTTGTTAAGTAAAAAATTTTGATAATAGAATATTTGTAATTTTCTAAATTACAAGGGTCAATCTGTGTTTTAAAAAAAATTCCAAAGGGTGTATTTGTAATTTACCCATTATTATTATATTTTAACAAAACTCTTAACTTTTAAAATGTTATCAATTCTAACTATCAAATAATGGCGCAGAGGTAATTTAGACAATTTAACTATTTTATGTTGGTGGTGCAGGATAGCGGTGGTGGTGGCGGTGGCAATGGCAGTGGTTATGGATTAGGGAAGGAATGAAATGAGTGACAGTTAGCTGGGAATGGAAAGAGTAGAGGTGGACGGAAAAAAGAAATGGAGCGATGGCAGTAGATTGGGATTGGTCAGTTTTTTTTTTTTTTTGGTCACTTGTTTTTTTTTTTTTTTTCTTCCTCCTCCTCCTCCAATCACCAACTCCGACGTGTGTGTGAGGGGTGATGGGGTGGGGGGAGACTGGGGTCTCAATCAACGCTGTTTCCTGTGATTGGGTAAAGTTTGGTGGGCAGCCTCTGTGTGTGTACACGTTTGGCTAAAATTTTGGATAAAGATTGTTTCAATGCAATCCTATGGTTTATTTGATTAATTTGAATTGGATGGAATGAAATGAAAAGACATATTAATTTTTGCTCTTTTATAAAATAATAATTTTTTTAAAATGATGAAAGATGATTTTATTTGTATCATATTTGTTATTAATTTTTTTCTGTCTAACTAAATATGAAAATAAATATTTTAAAGAATAATCACAAAAAAACTCCAAAGTTTGACCCTTCTATCAAATAAAATTTTGATTTTGTTAATTTAAATCTCAATTTTTTGATTGCTTATTTTTGTTAAGTAGAACATAAAAAAAAAAATCTTTTAATTAGTAAACCCAATGTAAATATACATAAAATGTCTAAAATATTACTTTTCATTAAATTTAATGATTAAAATACTTATTTCTCATCGATTTTACATCATGAAAATAAACAAATCAAAAGTTTAGGATTTAAATTAATAAGAGTAGAAACTTAAAATTTATTTTATTATAAGGGTCAAAATTTTAGATTTTTTGTTTTTGACAAAAGGGGGCTAAAGCCCAAAACAAAACACTAAACAGCAGAAATACAAAGGGATTCTAATCCCTTAACAACCTTAACTAACATAGGTAACACAAATGAAGGGGGACATGAAGGATCTGCTTATGGATCTTTAACCTTTGAGCTTCCATTTCATTTCATTTCATTCGAATTAAATACTATCCAACAGTACACAAAATCTGAGAATCACACTACAAGAAAATGTCCTTTTGACGACTAAAGTTTTAGTCACCAAAAGTAAGGTTTTTAGTCGCCGAAGCCTTTTCCCGACTAAATATTTTGGTCGCTAGATTTGTCGCGGGAAAACGGTCGGGAAAGGTTTTGGCGACTAAAAAAAATTTAGTCACCCAAAGTCATATAAATGGCTACTGATGTTTTAGTAGGGAAAAGTATGACGTATTGGCGACTAAATATTTTTTAGTAGCTAAAAGTCATAAATTGGCTACTAAATATTTAGTCGCCAAAAGGTTTCAAATAAAATTAATTTTCATTTTCAGCGACAAAAGCTTTTAGTCGCCCAAAGTATCATTTATTATTAGCTACTAAATATTTAGTCGCCAAAAAAAATTAATTTTCATATTTTTTTTAGCTACTAAACTATTTAGTCGGCTAAAGTCTCATATATTTTTTACCATTAAATTTTTAGTCGCCAAAAAATCTTTGGTTTGTTTTTGGCTACTAAATTTTTAGTAGCCAACAAGTTTTATTTTATTTTTTTAGCTACTAAACATTTAGTCACCAAAAACTTTATTTTAGTGTTATTTTTTTATTTTTATTATTATTAATTTCTGCACAACCTGTATTTATTTCGTGCAACCTGCACCCTGTATATAAACAAAACAATACATATGTCTATTTCTATTTCACTTTCAACCATCTAAAAATTTGGTCTTGTAACATCAAATTCTATACAAACCAAATATAATCTAACCCAAAATAATAATTCCATACAAACAGGTAATCATACAAAAATGTTGTCCTCCGTATACAAAAAAAGAAATATCCACTTTGTGAACTATAGAAGTGAAACATAATCCACATCTGATTCAGAAATCATTTTACTGTAGACAACAATTACCATAGGCCTGCTAATTTTCATATCACAACTACCAATCTATCATCCCAATGAGTAAATCAACTAAGAAAAAACACTAATAAAAAGCACAAAAGACTTAAAGACAGAAGCCATGTGGAATCTTTAATCAATCTTTTAATAAAGCCGAAGGATGGAGGAAACAGATAAAAGCACATAATAATCTCTTCCCGCTGCAACAAGACCAACCCATTTTGGTTTCTGTCAATAGGTCCTCAAAACACAGCAGAGCACACCCTGCAAAGAATTAAAAGACAAGTCAAAAAACAAATTATATCACTACTACCAAAGTAGCAAATTTTAATTCATTTGATGTAATATTAGATATATATATATATATATATGTTTATGCTAATAGCATAGACACAATGAATAGAGAAGTCTACTTGCAATTAGTGCCATCAGCATTTTCAAACTTTCATGGCAGCTTTGTGAACCATAGTTTCCTTGTGGATTTGGTGGCAACTCTTCTCCATGAGGTCAAGCAACTTCTCCAAGTTCATAACCCACGAATTCAAAATGTCATTGTTGTCCTTTGCTGCCTAGAAACAGACTATACCCATTGGCCGATCAATCTTTGCTACCAACGCTTTAGAGACAACCATCTCTGAAAGATGCTTCTCAGCTTCTTGAGAAAGAGAGACAAATATGTAACTCTTCATAAAACACATGGATTCAGATACATGCAACATCACACCAATTAGCAACAAGATATGAAGAATATTGTCATACACAGGTGTGCCAACCAAAAAAAAAAAAACTACTGCAGCAAAGAAACTTGAAGCAGTATGCAATAATCCAATACAGAGGTAAAGGAATTAAAACAAGCACCCTCCGGATAAGATTAATAATAGCTCCCATTATTATTTCCCTTCGCATTGGGGGGGAGTGGGTGTTGCAAAACTGGCAGCCTGCCTTTAAGGAACAGTATGGAAAAGCTTAATAGTAAAATGCAATTTCAATTGGATTATAATTTTCAAGTAATTATTAATTTTTATATAACGTATAAATCCATAAGTTCAAATATTAAATTTTTTTTAAAAAAATTTGTATTTATTCTTTTTTGAACTTTTTTAACATTTTAGTCTGTTTTTATAGTTTTTGATCTATTTAATCTAGTTTAGACACACTTAAATAATATAAAAATTATAAAAATATTTCAAAAAAATCACTAAATACTAAAAAAGTAGAAGAATACAAAAATAAAATACACTTTCATATTTTTTGTATCTATTATTTTTTTTAAAAATCATAATTATTTTATTTTTTAAGTAGATTTAAAATGGATCTAAAGTCTCATAATAAAAAAGTATTTATCAAAAAGTCTCATGATTTTTTTTTTTAAGTCGATTCACATTCTTTATTTGTGCCATGTTAATCCCTAGTTATTATCTGCAATGACTTACAAAAACTAAATGTGAAATATCATATTGTGAATGTTTATATGATTTTTATTTTGAAATCCTCAATTTCGGCAGTAAAAACATCAAATATTATAGGTAAAATTTTAATGGAATGTGCATTTGTAGCGATGTGTGTTTACAAAATATTTTATGTTATTGATCTTCACATCGTATTGAGAGCATCTCTAACCCACTAGACATATAATGCTTGTTAGTCAAAATACCTAATGTGACTCATTTTTTTCAACTCCAATACACTAGGCGTATGATTAGGCATTTTAGCTCAGTTCACATTCACTAGCTACATGTAGCTAGCCTTCAAGGTTAGGCAAAATGTATTTAATCATTACGATTATTTCCCTCTATCTTTGTTGTTGACGTGACATTTTATAAAGTTAATAGTATTTGGATGAATAGCTAAAATAAAAAGCATGTTTAGAGTAGAAACATGAAACAGTTGACAGGCAAAATAAAATGTATACTTTTTTTAATCATATTTTTGGTGCATTTTCTTATTGTTAGTCATGATTTTTTTGAATATTTTTACATCGTGCATTACTTTTGTATATGTTCACGTAATAAAATCTGTTGACATTTTCTTCGTATGACCATTAGGGGTGTTCAAATTACCTCACAAACCGAAGAATCAAACCAAGGGTTGATTTTTTAGTGTATTGGTTTTTTCTAGATTTTCTAATTATCAAACTGGTAAGATTGAATTGGTTCTTTGTTTAGGCATCACCTAAACCGAACTAACCTAATAACCGAACCTATTTATATATTAAAATTTTATTTATACTAACATATTTTTACTTAACTGGTTTATTACAATGGATATGATTGCACCTAATAATTATCACATATAAGAATTATTAGGTGAATAAAAGAAATACTAAAAACTTGAGTTAAATTTTGCAATTGATTTAATTTGTATTAGTTGTGTTAATAAATTTAATTTTTGTCGACTTGCATTGAACAATATTTTACTTTTTGTTTGTGTTATATTTAAATGTTAAATATTTGTTTAATTATTTATTATTAATTGACCTACTTAGTTTAACATAGTGGCGCTACGGGTTAGTTTTAGTGCATGATTGATTTGGTTTAAGGTCTAAAAATTTGAAACCGATCATGATTGGATTGATTATAAATTTAGTGCTAAATTGAATCAAACCGACCCGTGAACACCTCTAATGATCATGTGAATATCGTCATGAAATCCGTGAACATTTTCTCATTATATTATCTTGAAAATTCATTTTATGAGTTGACATTGTCAACATTCATATTATGAATTCAGCTTATTTGGTTCGGTTTTTTAGAATTTACTTTTCAAAAAATTTAAATTTTTTGTTTTTCGTGTTTTTCTTTTTTTTTTACTTATTGTTTTCAATATTTTAAGCAATTTTTTTAATTTTTAAATATACCTAACATAAATACACTTAAAAAGTATAACATTTGTAAAAAAAATCTGTAAAAAATTCACTAAACACCAAAAATACAAAAAAAATATTGAAAATTTAGTACATTTTCGTAGTCTTGTGTATTTATTGATTTTTTTAAATATATTTTTATAACTATTTTACTTTTTAGATACATCTAACTAAGGTGCGTCTAAAAAAGTAAAAAAAGAATTACTTAAGATTTTAAAAATATTCACTAAAAACAAAAAATAAAAAATCTAATTTTCAAAAAATTGAATACAGAAAATTAAAATCAAACGCAGTGAATCATGTGGAAATTAAATGACAATTAAAAGAATGTAAGCTTTTAATAATAAAATTGAATATGAATAAATGCAAAATTAAATGTGTGAAATTATCTCACATTGATAACTATAATTTCAATGTGAATATTTATACTATTAAATTTAATTTTTTTAATTTTACATAATTACATATTAAAGCGATATATTGTTTGATAGATCTCATTAAATAAATTTTAAAAATATATATATAGCGAAAGTTATGAATTTTTAAAATTTAATATACAAAAAGTCAAAAATAATCCAAAAATTAATGCACACCATAAGCACATATTAGGTTGTTAAGGACTCAAAAACTATTTATAAGGGTAAAGTTATTTATAAACTTATGGTTATGGTTATGGTTATGGTTAGAAAAAACCTTATGGTTATGGTCTTGTGGTGTCGTGGCATGGGTGCGCCATTTAGATGATTGAAAGGGGGAGGTTGGGCATTCAACTCCCTCAGTGTTAATCTAATGACTAATAGATTTCAAATATTACAAGATTTGGTGAAGAATGAAAGGAACTTTTTTGCTAAATTTCCCTTCAATTTAATTATATTTTGGATTAATAATTAATTCTATTTTTATTTTATTTTATTGTGTTAATATTATTTTAGTTTTGGGTAATTCTACTTACACTGCAATTTGACATCCTTATACTTATTTTTTCATTACAATCAATTAATTTTTTACTCTATTTTTTTACACTTTTCAATATACCAATTTTACCCCTTTTCAACCTACCTCTCTTTACACCCATTTTCATCTCCTCTGTCTCCTCTACTTTCCTCTCCTTCTTTCTTTCTGCCATTGACGCTATTGTTACTATCGTGAGCTGCCACTGTCACCACCTTCACAGTCCTCCAACTACTACAACCACCTTCGCACATACCCTCGGGTTTGCCAGAATCACCCTCAATGGGTCCATATAAATCTTTACAAAATAATAGGTCCTCCATTTTAGTTTTCCAAGTTACCCAATTACTTCCATTGAAGCTAGACATACGACCCACATTCCCCTCCATTGATTTACACAAATAAATAGACCAAAATAAACCGTAAGCTCTGATACTAGTTGTTAGGGAAAATGTGTGATTCCCCACAAGTAAATCAATCAATGGGAATAAAAACTAATGCGGAAAAATTAAATCAAAGGCAACACAAGAATTTTTACGTGGTTCCCTCAATGTGAGGTACGTCCACGGGATCGAAATCCGATTCCACTATCAACCAAATAAGTTCCAAACGATTACAAACGAGACACTAATGGTCTCACAAAACCACCCTTAGGTGAATTCCAAATAATCACAAATAAACAAAGAGGAAAAACCTCACCAAATAGAAGAACCAAAATCTTCAGAACCAGAGTTGTAGAAGACCCAAAACAATAAACCGAGCACTAACCGAAGATGCCCCAAACCAAGCTTCAATAACTGAAATTGAACCAATCTGCCAAGCTTCGGCACTACTACCGAAGTAGTGCAATAGTATGGCATATAGTAGCCGCCGTCCTTTCTTTTTTGTTCAAACAAAATAATATATATATTGGATATATATATTATTAAATCTTGGGTTTTGGAATCAAACCCTAATTGTATCTTAATTGAATTGGGTCTCCTCAAATATAATATATAAAAATATATTATACTAAACCAAGCCAAATTAAAACTCTTTTAATAAATCAATTGGGTCCCACACTCCAATAAGGAGGTATACCCAACAATTCTCCCCCTACCGACTTAGGTGGAGACATCAACCATACCCGCCAAAGTTCGACACTTTAAATGTTTGTCCCTCGACAAAGTCTTCGTCAACATATCTGAAATATTATCATCTGTGTGAACCTTTTCGAGTTGTAACAATTTCAAATCTAACACATCACGAATCCAATGGTATCTCACATCAATGTGTTTCGATCTCGAATAAAAAGTAGAATTTTTACTCAAGTGAATAGCACTTTGACTATCACAATAAAGTACATACTTTTCTTGCTTTGAACCCAACTCTTGCAAAAATTTCTTCAACCATAACTCTTCTTTGCAAGCTTCCGTAATGGCAATAAATTCAGCTTCAGTAGTTGAGAGAGCAACACATTTCTGTAATTTAGATTGCCATGCCATAGCTCCCCCTGCAAAAGTCATCAAATACCCCGAAGTAGATTTCCTAGAATCAACATCACCAGCCATGTCAGAATCTGTGAACCCATCAAGCATCGGCTTACCATCCCCAAAACACAAACACACCTTCGAAGTCCCTCGAAGATACCTTAGAATCCATTTTACCGCTGCCCAATGTTCTTTACACGGATTAGAGAGAAACCGACTCACCACACCAACTGCGTGAGCAATATCCGGCCTTGTACAAACCATGGCGTACATCAAAGAACCAACTGCTGAAGCATAAGGAACTTTCAACATCTCTTCTTTGTCTTTCTCACCTATAGGACATTGATTCGAACTAAGCTTGAAATGACCCGCAAGTGGACAACCAACCGGCTTCGCTTTATCCATATTGAACCTCTCAAGAACTTTCTCAACGTAGCTCTCTTGAGACAACCAAATCAGCCCCTCTTTGCGATCACGAACAATTTTCATACCAAGAATTTGCTTTGCCGGTCCCAAATCTTTCATAGCAAAAGACTTGCTCAACTCTAACTTCAGCTTGTTAATCATGGTAGAATCTTGACCCACAATTAACATGTCATCAACATAAAGCAAAAGAATAATAAATTTACCATCTGGAAAATTTTTCACAAACACACAATGGTCCGAAATGGTTTTAAAAAAACCATT